GAATTTCTGTCATTAAAAACTATTTCGGTTTTTTTTTTTTGCAATGGTAAAAAGGAGCAAGAGAGAGAGAGAAATTCCCACAGACTCCCAGCAATGATGCAAACTGGCATGTCATTCAACACAGTGTTGCTCACCTTCTTCATTGGGACTGGGGGGGGGGTAAAGTTATGGAGAGACAGGGCTGCTGCTTCTGACTCATCTGTTGTTGAGTCTGGTAAAAGGGGCAGGGACAACGGATTTAATATGAATATCTTGCTACACATTTACCTGCACTGATTAAATGTAGGTTAAAAAGGAGTGAAATGTAGGCTAACACTAGTCTGTAGCTAGCTTATTTCACTATGGACATTAAGCTAACAGGTTCATTTCTACCACTCACAGGCTATAGGCTACCCACCTTTCTTGGAGAAAAACTGGGTCACATATTGACACCCTTTCTTTTGCCTCTGCTCTCTCTCCTTTCTCTCTTTCCTTTTTTGAAAACCAGATTTTCTTTCAGTGCTAGGTAACATGATGATGGCTGTAGCATTCTAGCGCAGCTACTGACTGCTACTAGGCACTGTCACCATCAGTGTGTTAAGGCAGGACCAAACCATTTCATGCAGATACAGGGGTGTGGTCAGTCAATATGGATGTTCACTTTTTGGTCAATGGGGATATTTAACTTTTACTGCCAAAAACAAGTAAAACAGAGAGATCATTAATTTTATTACTATATTTGAAAAAAAGTATTCTTAATGATGATGGTTTAATAATTTTATATTAATTTTTACCTATTCTTGGGTAAAAAAAAAGTCTGGGGCCCTTGGAATCGTCCTAACTTTTCTCCCCTATATGGCGCCACTGGTTTGGGAATAGGGGCTTAACAATGTGGGAACTTAAAATGAATTTATACTGTAGGCATTTTTTAAACTTGTGTATAGCTATTCTGTTATTACAGGGTACAATATGATCATTATTGAGCAACAAAGCTGTGGGTTTGAGGGAAGATGGTGTAATGAGTTCTGTGGCATTTTATAAACCTGCTCTATTCATTTCAAAATGATCCTGTAATACTTACCAATATTGGAGGAATACAGGTGATAACAATGTGAGTATCTGCAAATGGTATAGTTTATATCTGTAGGGTGCAATTGTGTTTTTACTAATTTAGACATTTAGCACACAAATACACATATACATATAATATTGGAGTTAAAGTATGCAGTTTTAACATTTATGCATTTTATGTTTTTCAAAACCTGCTTCTTATTTTGCCTACTTGACAGAAGACAGTGCACAAGTGTTAGTTGCTTAAAGGTGCTGTATGTAAGAATGTGGCCAAAACGGTTTCTGTACTCAAATTCAAAATACTGCCACAAGTAGTGTCCGCGCCCCCTCCCCTACAGATTCGAGGTTGCTGGACAGCGGCACGCTGGAGTGGAGACTGATTTGTTTGCCCATGAGCGGCTGCCATGGCAGGGCCGCGTCGCCGCGTCCTTGATCTTCGGTTTTCCAGCGGACCGTTCGAGCAAGTCCGGCTTCTCTGCTGCTAATGCTGCTGCCGGGATACAGCTGAGGAGGAGCCGGCTGCTAATGCTATGTACCGGGACACTGCTAATGCTGCTGCCGGGATACAGCTGAGGAGGAGCCGGCTGCTAATGCTATGTACTGGGACACTGCTAACGCTGCTTGCCATGCTGCTGTAGCTCAGTCGTAACTGTAACTGATGCTGAGACTCTACTGACTGTGTGACTGGTAGACCGCGGTGGGTGGCTCAACAGGCCAAAACACAAATTCAAAACATAAACATGATTTGCAGACTGCAAAAATTTTTTTTAGATGCGAATATTCTGGCTGTACTATTGTTGTGGGATCAGTATGTTATATGAACATTATTCCTTAGTCTCTGTGACATATTAGGATGATTTTACGATTATTTGCTTTAGATTTCTTACATATAGCTCCTTTAATGTCAGATTTTATTTCCAGCACAAAGCTTTGAGTTAACAGACCTCATGATTTTTACCTGTTTTTCTCAGACCACACTGTGCCGTCCCTTCCTGTCAAACAACTGTGGAAAATGACTTGAAAAACATAGCAGTAGCATACATCCAAAAACATTTAAGGCAGGTGCTAGTAAAAAAAATAGCAATAAACAACATGAAAAGAGTCTGCACAGTGAATAGCTGAATACTCTTCTTCAGACTTAGGAAAATGTGTAAAGACACCATCTTTAAATACATTATGCTAGAGTCACATGGCAGTCACATGATGATACAGGTGAAATACAAAATCCCCACAAATAAATACAAAATCTATACAATAAATCAACGTATGTGAAGAAAATAGTAGGCCAAATAGTTACCATTTAAAGTTTACAATTTACTATTTTTACTATTTGATCTATCTGTCCATGTAGTAATGTATTGTTCCTCATGATGTGTGTATTCAGTGGACCCCTGATGTACTTGGTGTGTTGTTCCTGTCCTCTATGAGTAATGGTGGATATTGTTAAGTCCTATAGAAGTATTGGAGACATCCTATTGAATATGGAGGCTCCTCTATTTAGATCTAACCATATAGAAGATGTGACAGCCTCTGGCCTGATGTTTTTTCTTATGTGCTCCGAGGCCTTTTCTTTCTATATAAGAATGTACATGTGCTTTTTCTTGACATACAGCCTGTACTTTTAAAACTTGTTGTAATAACATTTAATGCTTGAGTTTATATATATATATGTATATATACTTTATTAATCTCTGAGGGGAAATTCAATTTTTTCACTCTGTTGTCAGTTACACACAGGTCCGAACACACATGCACAAACAGGACCTATATATGCACTAAGTGGAGAGATGTCAGAGTGGGGCTGCCCAGGACAGGCGCTCCGAGCGGTTGGGGGGTATGGTGCCTTGCTCAAGAGCACCTTGGCAGTGCCCAGGAGGTGAACTGGCACCTCTCCAGCTGCCAGTCCACGCTCCATATTTTTTGGTCCGGACGGGGATTGTTTATTTCATTGGATAAGTTGTTGATTGCTGAACTTTAGGCTTTTTAATGGCAACTTTCAACCAGGCAGTTTGACATATCCTATTAGAGGTTTTAAAGTGGATCTCCCATGTTGCCTTACATGTGAGACCACAAGTTTTATTACGGAAAGATATTAACATTTTATGGGTAATAACTGTAACGCTGACGACCTCTAATAAATCTACTTAAGGAATTTATCAATTAAAACTTATCTTCAAGAGTATATACAAGAGTGAGCTCCAAATGGCTTAAAGGAGAAAGTATGATCTATTAAAATCCTGTTACCAGTTTTAAGGGTTATATGTTAATATCTATCCTTCACTGTTTACTTATTTATTACCTTTATAAATATAACTCTGCACTGTTCTGCTTTTTTGCACAAATGATTACAGGCTAAACTGTGCTTTGTTGCCTCAGTACTTGTTCTCCGTGTTGACAATAAAGTTGAATCTAATCTAATTAAAACTACAGAGAGATATTTTTTTTCTCCCTAAGATGTGACAAATGTGATCTATTGTGTGAATCAAACATTCTCATGTCAGAACAAATGTTTGTGCCAAAACAAAACCCAGTTTTTAAGGGAATAGTCTAACATTTCAGGAAATACTGTTTGGTGAGTCAGATGGAAAGGTTGATTCAATTTTTTAAAAATCTATTTTAGATCAGCTTAGCCAAACTATTATACTGGGATACAGTATGACAGTTCTTTCTGACGTATTCCAGTCCTGATTAATGGCAATAGTGGAAGAAGTATTCAGAGCTTTTTCTTAAGTAAAAGTAGCACTACTACAGTGTAAAAATACTGTTACAAGTTAAAGTCATGCATTTAATAAGGTTAATAGGTACTAACAACCAACCAAGTTAGCATCAAAATATTCTTAAAGTATTAACAGTAAAAGTGCTCAATTTGCAGAATGGCACATTTCAGAATCATACATGTTTTATGACTGGATTATAGCCTAATAAGTAATGCATCAGATCAGTGTGTTCCTCGCATCTTGACTGAAACTGCTGTTCTTTTATTGACTTGAGAAGGCTAATGATCTCAAATCCCCCAAAAGTGTGTCTTTAATTTTGCTGAAGGCCCTCTCAGAATGTCAGAATTTTACTTTAATGTTTGAAGTGATTTTGGGTAGACTACACTGCATAGTATTGAAACTATTGAATCATTTTCCTAATAAAAATTCAGCAAAATTATGGAAAAACTTATTTTCCCAAACTGAGTGTTTTAGTATGATCAGCAGGAGACCATTAATGTGTGAGGTGATTTGGGGGACACTACGCTGCAGAGTACTGAAACTATTGAACAATTTTCTCCAAAACAATTCAGCAAAATTATTAAAAAACATATTTTCCCAAATTGAGTGTTGTAGCTAGTATGATCAGCAGGAGACCATTAATGTGTGAAGAGATCTTGGGGACGCTACACTGCATAGTATTGAAACTATTGAATACTTTTGTTACATCTCTTTTCGGTGTTGCACCTTGTAGACGGTCCCTGCGCACTCGTTTCAAAGTCGGTTGTGCGTAGAGATCAATGTTACTGGTCGAGCTCAACAGACGGCTTGTTCTGATGAAATTTACATCTCACCAAGCTAAGAAAGTAGTGACGTATGTGCTTCAACAACATTTCGTTTGAAAGTCATTGACCCGTGAAATCCGAATCTGTGAATATATGTCCAACTTTGCCGAACTGGAGTAGTTGAGGGATATTGGGATGATCCTCTGTGTCGCAACGAAAGAGTTAAAGTCCAAAATCCTATTACAACCCCTGAGGTTGCACTTTAACCCTTGAGGGTCTTGGGCTAATTTTGGCCGTTTTGTATACTTGTGATTTTTGCCTTTATATACCACATAAAAAAATGTTTGTCATGCCAATGTTTGATATCTTTTTTTTCAGCACAACCTTAGCTATATGACCAGAAAATTATTTTTCCAATCTGACATACTATATTAACATACTAGACCCAAAAACACTCAAAAACACAAAATCGGATTTGAAAAATAAATAAATTTCTTTACTATCCAAAATTCAAACATGCTCAGTGAAAAAATTCAAAGGCAGAAAATGTAAACATAAGTTGTAAATATGTACATACAAAAGTATAACTGAGATAAAATTAAGCTATATACAACTATTTCCAACAAAAACCAGGTGAAGACATAGGCGTTTTTTTTTTCATTTTGGCCATGCCTCTCTTCAAAAAAGTTTATGTACACAATTAGACAGAGAACTATATAACAGGCCTTCCATTCACAGACTGTGAGGGGTTCCTAAATAGTGCAAAAGTGACATATAAATGTCAAATTGAGATAAAATCAAACTATAAACAACAATAACATAATGTCAACCTGGGCTCCTGGTGGTCTGTGGGGCATGAACCTACTGACTCCTGGAGCAGTATCAGGGTCACTCTCTGTTCTCCAGGCCTCAGGGCTGTGGTGTGGCTGGGATGACCGGTCACATGGAGATCTAGACCGGCATCTTTTCTCCCTCCCACGCTGACGCCCCCTGCCACTGCCTCTTGCTGGGGCTGTAGATGTCCCAGGCTGCTCATCATCTCTGTATATGTACATGACAATAACACAATGTAAAAAGTTGAGTTCAGTTCAATTTGCACAATTTAAAAAAATGTCAAATTGAGATAAAATCAAACTATAAACAACAATAACATAACTATTTACAACAAAAACCAGGTGAAGACATAGGTATTTTTTTCATTTTGGCCATGCCTCTCTTCAAAATACACAAAAACAATAAAATAACAATTCTTGGGGAGGCCCTGTAGAAAACCCTGTAGGTTTATGTGAGACTACCACTAAAAACTACTAAACCAAACTACTGAATAGTCCCATGACATTTATTTCATCAACCTAAACATCAGACTCAATCCACTTGCTAAATAGTCTCTTTCGTTTTTCCCACAAAAAGACAGGCAACTCAATATCTGCTACATGTTTTGCTACATGTTTTGCTACTACCACTCGCGGGAAAATATGAATATTTTCCCGCGAGTAAAATATATTTTACCGCGAGGTGTGTGTGTGTGTGTCACAAAATCACACAGCACACATTTACAAAGAGAGTAATAAGAAAAACAAAAGCAATAAATGTTCAGAAGAAGTCTGACTCACCTCTTGTCGTCCGTCACAAAGGACGGATCCTCAACTTCATCGACACAGTCACTCTCCAACTCCGACGGTGAAACGCAGATTTCGCCCTCCTGCTCCTCCAGTTCGAAAAACAAGTCCACGGCTTGTCTTACATTCAATGTCCGCAACATCCTCTACTCCTCACGAATAAACTCTAAATCCTAAAACAACTCCAAATCTTCCAAAAAAACTCTCTCAAACTATCGCTCACTACTCTATCGCCTGCTTCTCTCCTCCGCCACACTCGCCCATACTTCACTTCCGCCACACTACTTAGTTGTCCCCGCCCCCACGTCCCAAGAGTGTGCAGCCTGTAGAGCAGAGTCGGCAGATTCAGACATTTTGATCCGTTTCGTAATATAACAAAAAACGACGAAAATATTCAAATAAATGCAACGCCTGATCCAACACACCGTGCGCAATTTATGCATGCGTAAACATTATTTTTATTTCAACTTTAAACTATCATATTTCCGTTTTTACTTGGTGTATCAACATAAAACAAAAACTGTCATGGAGTTTCAAGTCCGCACTTTCCAGAGAAGTTGACGGTAGCGCTCTACGGGGTTTCGTTTTCGTGCAGTGACGTCATAAACTAGTCACGTGATTTGATCACGCCGGCGTGATCGCGGACCGCAGACTAAGACACGCCACGTGGTCGGAAATCAGGGGCTGCAGGGTGGAGTTTGACCATATGGTACACATCGCATATGTTCCAGAAGCTGGATCTTTCCAAGCAGACAGACAACCATGGATTTTATGACAGATCGGGACGTGCAAAAGGTGAGCATGACATTAAAAAGGTACAGAAGTTACAGGTGAGCTGTAGTTAACCAACATCCTGCACTTTATTGTACTTCTATTTACTCATGCACATGCCGTATTCAAGCAGTGATGTATGTAACTCAATATAAACACGTTTTCTGGTCTGTGGCATCATATTCTTGTAATATTTCATCGTTTATATTCATGTAGTTTATATGACCGCTCATTCCAGGCTGATTACATAACATGCGGCAGCCGCAAGTGGCCTGTGTAAAGTCTGCACTAGCAAATGCTTGTTTATTCTTATTGTGTAATGCACCAGATGTGCCTTCACCATGTTAGATTGAGGCATGGAGGAGCAGGATACAACCAAGAAAAAATAAATAAATAAAACTGAGGTATTTTTCTGTGTTGTTTTCCCCTTTTATTTCTATAATTCAGATGTGTAAATTCTGTACATTTCACCCTTAACTGGATTTAAATTTGAAAAAACAAACAATGAAATGAAATGAGTGAAATATTCAGACCCTAGGCTCCATGTTTTTATAGCCATACTATTTTACCACATGGATTCAAATTCAAAGGCTGTACATTTGATCCTTAATTTGATGTCAATTTGAGAACGCCTCTTTGTGTGAAAAAAGTGGAAATACACATAAAAGAAAACCGCTGAGGATGTGTCTCGACTCCTCAGTGATAGCTTTGGCTCTGTGAATGGTTGATACCGACCCAGCAGCACCTTCCTCCCTCTTTATAGTACATGGAGGATGGATATGTGGTTCTGGATGGGCTGCTGACCTCCCAGGAGTGTGACGAGCTGAGGCAAAGGATGACAGAGATAGTGGATGAGATGGACGTCCCGATGCACTGCCGCATCACCTTTTCCACCTATCACGACGAGCAGCTCAAAACACAGGTGACGTAATGTGCAGCTCAGTGGGAGATGAGTCTTAAACAGTGTCAGTGACTCACAGTTTCATCCCATATTATTTCTTTCACATGCTTTCCATCATACTGCACTTACAGATGCAGGTAAGGTCCCCATTGATGTTAATTAAAGGAATACTTCACCCCACAAACGATTATTTGTACACCAGTTACTCAACTCTTGTTATGATGAATTTGTGAAGAAAACTTTGTTCGAAAGGTCAAAAGGTTAACATAGGTCATCTGATCTAGCAGGAACGATTGCATTACAGAGGGTAGAGGCACACCACACTGACACTGACTACACTGCTGACATATGCTGTTGTTGTGGCGTGCCTCTGATGAATGAAGAATCCAAATTCTGAGAAAATTCTTCACAAATTAAAGACAGAGGGGTCTGCATTTAAGGACGACAAAACATTATCAAAACACTATAATCCAATTCTCATGTATCCAGTCATAAGCTCAGTACTTCATAAACAGACAGCCCAGTCTGACGGAGAACTGAGCTTAAAGTTAAACTTCTCTGTGTTCTCTTCAAAGCCAGACTTCACTGACAAAAACAGCAATTTTACCTCAATGAACATGGTAGTTGCTGGTCTAAGACTGCCTCGATCAGTTAGTTTGTTTGTGTTATTGTGTGACTGCTGAATCCGAACTAACCCTTCATAACACCAAAAGACCAAACACACTAAGTGATCAAGGCAGTGGTAGATGAGTATCTCTGGTGCTCAATGAGGTAAAATTACTGTTTTTGTCAATGGAGTCTGGCATAGAGAAGTTTTATTCTTAGTTCAGTTCCCCGTTGGAAAGTGTTGTCTGTTTGGGAAGTACTGAGCATACCGTGGGATAAATGAGGCTTGAGCCCTTTAAACACAGGGATTGCGCAATAGTGCTACTACGAAGTCCCTTCTTTTTGCTGCCTTTGATTTTTTACACAAAACCAAACAAAGGCAGCATCATACCTTTCCCTAGTGTGATTTTAGATAGCATGCCGGTATCCCCCAAGCAAGAGGCGTGGCGGGCGTGACGTAATACAACAGCATTTGCCTCTAGCATGACACATAACATACAATAACAATGTCATAACATGGCAATAACAGTCATTTACCACCACGTTATATGGCGGTTGATCTCGTCCTCTGCTCCCAGACCTTGGTGTCTCCCCATCAGCTGCTGTTCTACTTCAGTAAGTGAGCTGCTAACTGCTGCTAGCTGCCTTTTAAATCTTCCTGTGTTGTGTCTATAGACTGTATATGAATATATATATGTCGCACACATACTACATCATCAAAAAGTCAAACCCATCCATGTGCTCGTCTTGCCCGCTGTCGCTTATGCGCAGATGTTAATTCGGTGCTGCTCCTACCTCTGCTACTGCCTTAAAGGCGAGACAACTGCACCCCCTCATTCTGCGATTATAGCAAATATAAAGCACAGCGTGGCATTTCCACCTTGAACAGGCAATGTAACGGAGGTTTGGATTACACTGCACAAAATGTGTGAGAGTTTGACAAAGTTGTCTTCACAGATTCACCTTAACACAGGGTCTTTAACCGATACACAATTGGTCATTTCGGGGGGGAAGTATTCCTTTTAATTGCAAGATGTCAGTGTTTTCCTGTCATGATCAGGCTCATGGAGACTGTAGGTACATTAGCACACCAATGATTCACAGTGTTTTACCTTTGAACCTCACTGGCCTTCCTTTCAGACTAATAGCAAACGCTTAAGTCAACAGTGTAGTCCCTCTGTAATGCAGTCGTTCAGATGACTTATATTAACCTTTGACCCACAGGGAAATGCTGACTATTTCATCACCAGTGGAGACAAGATTCGCTTTTTCTTTGAGAAAGGAGTTTTTGATGACAAGGGTGAGCTTTATAGAGATTCCCTCGAGCCTGCCCGTTAAAGTTTAATATTAAATTAGACTGATAAAGCATCTCTTGTCTTGCAGGGGAATTTATCGTACCAAGACAGCGATCGCTAAATAAAGTCGGACATGGTAAGATTTCTAATCAGATCCTCTGAAACATCATGAGCAAATGACTAATTCCAGTTTTTGTCTTGTAGCACTGCATGCCTATGAGCCATTGTACAAAAAGGTTACACATTCACACAAAATCCAGGTGAGTGAGCTGTTGAACAATGTCAGAGACTGATGTACTGAGTCACAGAATAACCAGCTCTTACATTAAAAGATAACTTTGGTATTTTTCACCTGGACCCTATTTTCCCATGTTTTTTGTGTCTAAATGACTAATGGAGACAACAGTTTCTGAAACTAGTCTAGTCTTGAGGGAGAGAGCTTCAGCCAGCAGCTGTGAAACAGGCTCCAATATAACTAGTCGGGACATGTTTGCCAATTGTCAATTTATGTCAACTGAAAGTGTTTTTGTCATTGACAGGCTCAGGTTGTTATTCTAAAATCACTATCACCAAATCCACCAAACTCCATCTAAATAAATGTGTGTGTATAGAGCCACATATTTTTCCATCTAACTGTGTGATTTGGGGTTTATTTCAACCAAACCAGAGGGTGATTGTTGAAACAGTGTTAAAATGGTCCAAGACCATGATAAAATTAGATTATTTTCTCACAGTATTATGGAAAGGACCCTACAGAGATAGACCTTCTTGTCAAAGAGTGAGACCCTTTTTTTTCACCAGAAACTGTCCCAAAATCACCATCGCCAAATTCACCACATTCCATTTAAATAAACAGTAATTTTACCATCATAAAACATACCTCATTCAAAGTCAACAAAAGAAAATAACACTCACAAAAAATGTCTTGGTTCGTCTTAACACTATTCATCAACTCTGGTTTGATTGTACTAAACCCTTATTTCACCCAGTAAGAGTAAACTTTTGGGTAAACAAATAGATATGTCTCTGTAGGGATCCTTTCCATGATGTTGTCAGACACTTAGTATAACAATCTGAGCCTGTCAGTGGCAAAAACAAAGAGTGCATTCTGAATCGCATACTTTTTCTTTTTACTTTTATTAGGTACCGCAGCTGCTCTTAAAAAGTATGTACTATTGCATGCAGTATGCACACAATCAGGACATACTACTTTCTCATAACATTACACCCTGAACTTTGACCCTCTTGCTTTTACAGTACAGGCCAAAAGTTTGGACACACCTTCTCATTCAATGCGTTTTCTTTATTTTCATGACTATTTACATTGTAGATTCTCACTGAAGGCATCAAAACTATGAATGAACACATGTGGAGTTATGTACTTAACAAAAAAAGGTGAAATAACTGAAAACATGTTTTTATATTCTAGTTTCTTCAAAATAGCCACCCTTTGCTCTGATTACTGCTTTGCACACTCTTGGCATTCTCTCCATGAGCTTCAAGAGGTAGTCACCTGAAATGGTTTCCACTTCACAGGTGTGCCTTATCAGGGTTAATTAGTGGAATTTCTTGCTTTATCAATGGGGTTGGGACCATCAGTTGTGTTGTGCAGAAGTCAGGTTAATACACAGCCGACAGCCCTATTGGACAACTGTTAAAATTCATATTATGGCAAGAACCAATCAGCTAACTAAAGAAAAACGAGTGGCCATCATTACTTTAAGAAATGAAGGTCAGTCAGTCTGGAAAATTGCAAAACTTTAAATAAGTCCCCAAGTGGAGTCGCAAAAACCATCAAGCGCTACAACGAAACTGGCACACATGAGGACCGACCCAGGAAAGGAAGACCAAGAGTCACCTCTGCTTCTGAGGATAAGTTCATCCAAGTCACCAGCCTCAGAAATTGCAAGTTAACAGCAGCTCAGATCAGAGACCAGATGAATGCCACACAGAGTTCTAGCAGCAGACCCATCTCTAGAACAACTGTTAAGAGGAGACTGCGCAAATCAGGCCTTCATGGTCAAATAGCTGCTAGGAAACCACTGCTAAGGAGAGGCAACAAGCAGAAGAGAT